GACTCGACGGCACTTAACAACAACAACAACTAAAGCACAGGTGCTGTGCACTTCTGACCAGAAGAATCCCTTCACCCTATAGGACCTCGAACCTCTGACCAGTCTTACACGGTCCGCAACACTCTGGTGGGTTCCTAATACTATAATTCAGTTCATGGACCCTTGTCCAGGTTCCAGAGTGTAAATCAATGGGTCATTAACTCTAGAAGTGTGCCCTTCCGTGCCTCCTCCTAACCCCAGTTCTACCAGGATATTTGGCTGTTGTTACTTAAGACTCATAGTGACCCTGTATAGGGTTTCTGAGAAGCAGCTGATGAGGTTGAATCACCAACCCTGTAGTTCAAACCAACCTTGCAGTTCAGTGCTTATCCTAATTGCCTATAAGTCTCTATGGCAGCCCTTTGGGTTTGTCTTCCTTGACGTACTTCCTGAAGACTCTCAACAGGGACCTCCTAGGGATCTGTACTGGACCAGGGAGTTTGGCATTGGAGTTTTCTGTTTAGAAAAGAAGTTAACCCTAGAATATCAGTCATAGACGAGGTGTTTATTCATTAGCTGTTTCACTTGCTACAGTGGAATACACTGGTATGTCTATGAGCCAACAGTTGAAAGCTCAGCCAACTTTGCAACAGTGACAAACTGCCTTTCAGGCTGAAAAATTTTTTTTTTTTTTTTTTAACTAAAAAGAGAAAGGAGCATTTGTATAAGCCAGGGAGCTTTTTGGTAAGTGTTGGTGTCTTTATTGTTGTCATACTTCCGTTTTATCGTACACCAGAGTATTTATCTAGAAGACAAAATGTATTTGTCATGAGAGATGAGAATCATGCATTTGCAGCACAAATTTGACGTAATTGGAACATTACTTGAGGGGTGTGGAAAAACTATACAAATACATTTTGTTCTAACTCATTAATATAAAGGATGATCTGGATATATTTTTTTGCATTAAGATGTATTTGCTTTCTGAAATAATTTTTGTTCAGCAAGTTGTTAACAGCAAGGAGCTCTGGTAGCGTAGTGGTTACGAATCGGGCTGCGAACCTTAAGGTCAGTGGTTTGAAACTACCAGCCGCTCCACGGGAGAAAGATGAGGCTTTCTACTCCCGTAA